CCAATACTGTATAAGCTTTTAATATTTGCACAATGAGATTGGTTTTCTACATCATTGTTTGTCCAAAATAAACTTCACTGGAATTCTAAAATCACATTCCCTCGGAACAGTTCTTTTTTTCCTCTGACGGAAGGAATATAATAATTTCCATGAGCTAATTTCAATTTCTGTTGGCTATATTCAGCCCTCTAGCCTGTCTCTCACTGCGTTCATGTAGTTCTTTCCCGACATTTCGTTTGATAGCCGGATTGCCAAAAATATTTCGTCAACATTTGTTTGCTCATGTAGAATTTTATATCAGGGCGAAAATAATGCAATCGGCGAGTGAGTAATTCTTCCAGAAACTTGTCTGTGATAGTGCGGTAATCTCTGTAGCGACAAAAGACCACCAGAAACCACGCGCTACAATCCACGAATTAGTATCTTTGCTACTTTTAATAACGAACTCGGTTTGAGCTCCTTAAATTATGTCTGGCGACTTTTCTGGTTTCGTCTTTCAGATTTTCACATACAAGTGAATTCGTGACATGAATAAGAAAGTGAATGTTACGTCAAAGATCGCCATCGTCCGCTCACCGAAAGATCACCAGTATGTGTGCGCTCAGACTCACATCTAAGATTTTGATCTTTTTCCTTATCGCACAAAAACTTTCTACAGGAGGCCTGCATACATGAATATTCATCTTTTCACATTGCTGTTTTCCATGGACGATTTTATACACGCAACGAATTCTGTCATCGCTTTTACAAATGTACAAACGCCTTTTTAGCGTGAGATGTAGAAACAAATTCATCACTCTTATTCGATTCAAGAGTTCGTGCGTGTCAGAATGTGTTTAAATTGCTCTCATTTCACATAAATGCAAATTCGCTTCGCAGCTGAAGTGTTGTTTGTGTTGCTTCTATTTTTGCCTTCTTCTTGTCCTTCTATCTTTCTGAATACTTTAGAACAGGAGCCGATACCTAAGCCTGGATGTTATTGCACTCTAACGTTAAACGCTAAAGCAAGAAAGGCCCCTGGTAAACTTTGGTAGAACTTTTTTTATGTTTTTTCTTTCGCATGTTTTATTAAATATATTTATTCAGCAATACAATAAAGCAAAGAAAAAACGTACAATGCTTCAACATAATAGAAGTGAAACTTTTTCAGAAAAATTTATATCTAGGCGATGCTAAAGTATGCTCGTCTTCAGACTTAATACCCGTTCTGATATCAATTGTCTTCCCAACGGATTTTCTATCGTAAGCACATATCTTCGTCTACCTGGCTTCAGGCTATTACCATTGGCAATGATTATTGTTATGTAAGGGCTTTTGTATTTCTTCGTTCGAGCGGCTATGCTTTTATTCCGTGCTGAGAGCGTATCGGCTTTGGGTGATTGAAGCCCAATTGACATATTGATCCAGCACAAAGTTAAAATCGCTTTATCTGAGCCTCAGCTTAAATACGGTCAGATAGCAATCTAAATATTGCACTTAATCACCGCAAGGTCTGTTAGTTTGTAATTGTTTTGGTTTCACTTATAACCAAACATTCACAGTGACGCCGTTTGTCGACAAATGAACTTGCAGTCGTGCGTGAGAACTTGGTTCAACCCACCATCAACTGGGAAATAATTGTCTGTAATCATTTCAGCTGTAAGAAGTGAATAAAAAAACAGCGAATTGACGCGTTCTTTATGTTACACATGAATAATTTTCTTGCCTCAAAAACTTTTTTAGTGAGAAGTCGATTTTGTGCTTCAAGACTTCACATCCCTACGATTTTCAAAATTTATTGAAAAGTTGCCGATCGGTAGTTTTTGTCACAAAAAGTATCGTAGCTGAAAGTCCTTAAGTCCTTATGCGTATTTAAAATGACCAAACTTTTAGCTGGTTCTACATGTGTCCATAATGGAATTTGTTTGTTCGTGTTCAGCTTGAGAATATAATAGTAGGGAGTCGTACAGGGCCATTATTCAGTTCATTAAACCTTTTATTTAGCGACACTTCAATGAGACGTGATCAGCTTTGAAAGAATTATTTTGAAATCTAACTCTTTATGACAGCACAGCCGGCTCAAAAATGGGCCCATTGCAGTTAAGCCATTCACATGGAAATGTGTAGATTTAGCCAGGGCTAAAAGCGAAGCTCTCGATAATAGTTATAGTTTGCTCCAACAAAATATATAATCGTGTAACGGTCTGTGTAAGGGCCTGTTTACATCGAGGTGGTGGACCCAAGGTAGGTAGGGTAACTCGCCTGGCCATATAATCTCTCATTTTAATTTTATCACGTTTACATGTTAGGTGGGGTGACCCGCCGCATGTTACCTCATCTATCTGGGGTCCTCCACCTCTATTCAGACAGGCCCTAAAACGCAGACTGCGTACTATTGTTTTCACTATGCAAATGAGAACGTGACAACAATAGTCGCACTGTTTTCTAACCCAAAAGGTCGGAACACACTTGGCAACAAGTTGCAGCAACATGTCGCGGCGACACGTTGCAGCGACAAATCGCTTCGTGTGTACTGGAGAATTTTTGTGAAAATCTTTGTCGCTGCAACAGAATTTGTCGCCGCAACAAGTCGCACAGATTCAGTCTGATTTGATTTTTTGCGACTTGTTGCAGCTACAAAATTCTGTTGCGGAGACAAAGATTTTCACAAAAATTCTCCAGTACACACGAAGCGATTTGTCGCTGCGACGTGTCGCCTCACCTTGTTGCTGCAACTAGTCGCCCGACCTGTGCACACGGAGTGATCTGTCGCCGCGACGTGTTGCAGCAACTTGTCGCCTAGTGTGTACCGACCTTAAAAACAATAGTCCGCAGTCTGCACTTTACACTGCCCCAATCGTGCAATGCTAAGCAGCGAAGGAAACGAGAACGGTGAAAAAACAACAATAGGTCTTATTAGCAAAAAAGCAACTTTGCACGTGCAGCACACTTTTTTTGTACATTTCTTTGCCGTTGTTTTGCACGACTACTGTACAAGGTGAAACTTCCAGAAACTTCCTTGTTACACGTTTAATGGAGAAAATGTCGTACGTTTTCTTGTTCATCATTTTCACTGCCGCTCATTTTCACCTTGGTGGCCTCTAGAATTTCTTATTTTCCCACCGCCGCTACAAAATTTTCATGTTGTTCTTCCAACAAAAAAAATGTCTCCTTTATCTTTTATCTCTCGCTCTAGCTGTCTGTAGCTCTTTTTCTCATTGAGCTTCGCTGGCCTCTCGCCTACTTTCTCTTTTTCTCTGTCTTTCTCTTTCTTTGTTCTCCAAATTTGTGGATATGACAATTAATCTAAGCCAGGCTCCTGTCTAAGCTTAACACTTTTAGACAATACGGATACAGAAACAATTTCTGCTTTCCGTTTTCGTCTTTGTTGACTCTTTAGTTGTCTCTTCTTCACAAGACACGGGTGGCTATGCGATTTCCCGCCAAAATAACCTCAAGTTGCCATACCTGTATTTTGATTTAGTTATTTTACATTGGTATACCTGTGGTGCGGATGGAAGGTCGGGTGGGCGTGCGTACGGTCACGTGACTACCAAAATTTCCCTGATGCATTGGTTACCAAATTTTCTTACCATGGTGCTCTGCTGCGCGCTTCGTGCGCACGAGAGCTCCGCTACAAATAAGGCATAGTTGGAGTGCAAACGCCGCAGTTTTAAATGAGGCTCATTTTTTTCTTGCCTCACTGAGTCTCATGTTCTCCAGCAAGGCACCCAGTTACGCTTGAATGGTTTTCCATAAAAATCCTTGTAAATTTCGAAATTTTCAAAACTGTCATGAAATATTTCCTTAAGCATCACGGGGCTCAAATCACCTTTTCATAACAGGCTCTTTGAGCCCTTAAATGAGTAAGGGAAAGATTTAACAACAGTTTAAAAATTTTAGAATAGAGAGGAGAAGTGTGACGTCACGTAACTTTAACCATGGAAACAAAATTTCTGGATTACAACAATAGGGACATCATTTTCCCACGCTTGGCGTCGGTTATCGTTTAGCATTGTGCAGTTCTAGGAAATATCCACATCCCCCTCCCTCACGGAGAGCAACGGAAATACCGAGGGGAAGGGGGTCCAAAAGGAGGCAATTTCCAAGGGGGGTGGTGCTTTAAGAGGTTTTTTTTCCTGGGGGTCTTAATAAGATTGGTGAGTTATTTAGCAATTAGTTATTGAGGCTGAAGAGGGTATGAAGAATTAAGCAGATCGAGTAGGGTGTTATCTACCGAGGTCGAAGGCCGAGGTGGATAACACCCTCCGAGATGGAGGATATTTTTATGGATATTTTCTGGAACTACACATTAAGATTTCAGCAGATTTGGTCATGAATGACCACCAAGTGTTTTGAGTGGTTACAGTGATAAACGTTTGTCTTGATTTTATGTTTGAAAATAGGGAGCCATCTTTTCTGATCGGTAAAATCATGTTGCACCGGCCGTTTCTTTAACGAGCCGGTGCGAAAAAAAGTGGTACATACATGTACACTTATGCCAAGGGCGGGAAAATAAATGAGGGGTAGCCATTCACAACAGTCGTAGTCGTTCACAAACCTGTCAGGCCCCAGTTTTTCAAAAACAGGATGACGCTATTCATTGGATAAACCTCTATCCAGTGGATAAGGTATTCGTTTTCCCGAATACTTATCCGCTGGATAGCCCTATCCAACGTTTGAACAAAACACGCCAGGCGAACTCTAAACAAATACTGGTACACGTACTTGATGCCAAGCGCGTGAAAATAAATGAACGTGTGGGCCAATCACAACAGTCGTAGTCGTTCGTGAACCAATCAGGTGAACTTTATGAATACCGGTAAATGTAGCCGACGCCAAGCGCGGGAAAATAAGTGAGTGAGGAAGTGGGCCAATCACAACAGTTGAGTTGGTCATGAACCAATCGGCTGAACTCTGAGAGTTCGCTGTATTTGCAGGCTAATTCTGACACGGTTGAATAATTACGGAATCTAACAAATCAGTCCGTGATACTTATTTCTTGTTTTATTTTGTTTTAAAGGTACTGGAAAGTTATCACGAGTGGTTGGAAAGCCCGTAAAAAGAACTCCAGCATCCTGGAATTCGCCACGTTTCTAGGAGAATGGCGCGACATCAGCATGTTAAGACTTCTTCACTGTTTTTTGGAGTCTGCGCCTCAACTGGTTTTACAGCTCTACATTTTACTGCAGCGTCGACCATTTGACTTGAAAAATGATTTGCTCACTGCTGTCACCGCGGGATGTTCTCTGATCTCTATGATCTGGGCTATTTTAGCTTATAGTAAGTCTTTGCGCGACTTCCGAAAGCAAGGCTACAAACTTTCACTTCAGGGCTTGTTCTTCCAAGTACTATGGCGCACCTCTATGGTAACATCACGCGTGGTTGCCATAGTTCTTTTTGCCTCGTACTTCCAGCAATGGGTTTTTGTTGCCGTGGGCGCACATTGGCTTATAATGATTATGTGGCTGATCTGTCAGCGGACTCGTTTTTGTACCGATGACGAAGGCAGAGAGCACCCTTGCCGCGAAAAACTGTTTTGCGCAGCGATCGGGTTCATGTACATATTTTGCTTTTTCAATACTCGAGAAGGTATGACTCGCAAACGCGTTGTCTTGTTCTATTCAGTCATGCTGGTTGAAAATTCCCTTTTTGTCTCCATGTGGTATCCACATAGAACTTTTCAAGGGTTAACCGCCTTCGTTGCGTTGGGGGTGGTGTGGGGAGGATTGGCACTTGGTGTTCTTTGCATGATACTGTACTATCGCTACTATCATCCCAGTTTACCAGTTCAAGGAATCTGTCTTCAAAAGAGAACGTTTGAATTCGAAGGTCAAAGAACCTACACTTGGGTTTGCTGTGGTTACTGCAACATAAAGCAGTCTGGGGAAGACACCATTGTAGGTGAAGGTTTGATGAGAAACCTAAATCATAGTGGAAATCACCAAGCATGCGCACAGCCTTCTCTGGAACTAGAAATTCTCCCTCGCAGTGCATCACAGGAGATTTTACAAGAAGCGTTGGGAAATCACGTCTCTGGTCCAGACTCTTCTATCCTCGTTCACAGTACACCTGCGCGCCCTGTGAGGCCGTCCAGCTCACACGCTAAGCATCCGCTGGTCACTAGTGAAGTGCCACGAATCACAGTGACTACTGCCACCCCCGAGGTAATGAGCCCTGTATCAAACTCATCTGTGGTTACATTAAACGAGGTTAACGTGGAAGCTCTTGACGAAGTCGTTCAGCGCTCTGTAAAAACATCGAAGAACAAACCTGATAGAGTTTCGGACAGCGATAATGAGGAGGCAACTGTTACTGCAGCGAGCGACTTAGCAACTGTTAGCCATCAACGTGTAAAAGAAGAGAGGAAGTCCGTAACACCGCGCCGGGGCATAGATTTTAAAAGTGAACCAAGCCTTACCTCGCCAAAAAGCCCTACATCGCGAGAGATCATCAGCTGGTTTCACCCAGACCAACAAGCTTACGGGTCAGACTCTGTAGATGAATGCGAAGAGAGACTTGCAAAAATCAATTTCGGATCGTTAAGTTTTGGTAATCGATACAGTCTCGTTTCTTCCGACTGTCTCTCTTTGTCCTCAGAGAGCTCACAAAGCTCAGTAGACAGCATAATGTTTGCCGATGAAGGACCAGGATGTTCCGGCGTTCAAGTTAACAAAAGATTGTCTGGGGAATTAACTCCAAGGGCGGATGAGGGAATTTTTTCAGATGAGAGAGATTCACCCATGAAAGGGAGTGTTAGTACTTCTGAGGATCCAGATGTGATTTCTGCAGCTTCTACTCCTCAGAGATCTAACGTTAACGCGCAATTTCCTGTCTTGGACAAAAGTCACCAGCGAGATGCATTACAACAGGTTTCGAGAGAGTCGCCAGAGAAATGTAGGGTGATGTCCCCAGTACGTGAAGAAGGCTATGAGTTGATAGAATTGTTGATGGACGCGCCATCTACTCCATCTTCCAGCTTGAAACGAAGGGCCAGAAAAGTTACCAACAGTGTGTCATCTGAAGAGACGATGGAAAATGAGATTTACAAGGAAGAAGATAGACTTGTCCGAGAGGAGTCTGTGTCCGAGCTAGAGGACGGACACGAGAGCGAGTCCACTGACGTAAGCAGCGACAGCAGTCATTGGAGAACACTGCATCATTCATATGACGAAATAGAGCCTGGAGCGAGTGGATTCCAGTCTTCTCCGGACACGGCTGAGACCAATAAGAGACACACATTCGACTTTTCACAGTTGTCAAAGAGCCCGCGGTCACCAAGACGACGTAGAAGAGACCGCAAATATCGACGATCAAAAAGAAAAGAGTTCGATAACTTTGTTGTCACCACCCTGAGACCAGGAAAGTACGGTTCTCTTCGACGGTCGATAGATCGGATGGCAAAGATACAAGAAGATGCAGAGGAGACGTTTTTACTGAATACTGAGGCAGCTTTAAATGCTTGTATTCCGGAAGATGAAGATCTTTCGTCTCCTAATATGGACATTCCCTCATGTGAGGCTCAAGAGAAAAAAGAAAAATGCATTTTAAAACGCTTAGAATCAAACCCTAGCACAGAAAGCTCTAATACGAATGAAGGTAATTCCGAAGAAAAAAGTGCCGTTTCTGCTCGGGAAAACTACATGAGGCGAAAACGCCTGAAAAGATTTCTTTCGAAAGAACTTGCTCCGGGCAGATTTTCATCGGTAAGACTTTCGTCGGAGAGTTGTCCATCCGATGAGGACTTTTCACTTTTCCACAATGACGATGAATTTGGAAAGAATCGTCACATTTTGTCAGCAGACAACTTGCCCCATCGACATTTGAACGGTGAACGTGGTGGAAAAAACAGTGACGGGATGAGGAGAAGGGATTTTAGCGACAAAACAAGCAGTCTTCCTACTGTTATTCATTCTGGCAACAAACTACGCCCCCAGGAACGTTTCAGTCCTAAAAGTAATTTTCAAAATGCTATTCTCTATACGAACACAGAAAGCAAAACGGCTGACCGAGGAGAGTCAGTGTTTGATCCTGTTCCAAACAAAAGGCACAGTTGTGACTTCACTTTCAATTCCGTTGATCATATAGAAACAAAGGGGCGATTATTTGGTACGGATAATGACGAAAAGCTGTCAGCGGTTGATCGTCAGCATCGTAGGACGCAATCTGAAGTTCTGATTGGCACAACTGGTTGCAGTATACACGTGTAAGGCCCTTGTAATGACTAATTTTTTTGGCATTGCAGAAACAAAAGCCTGCGCTATGATTGGTCAGAATTGAGTCGACTTCATCGCTTTAAAGCACGTGCCTACGTCACACGTGGGCTTTGACCGGTTAGGTAGCGTGAGAAAGTAGGCCGTGAAACAGGCTAGTGGACTGCGAAACTGGAATTGGGTCTACGTATAATTTGGCGAGTTATTAAACTTATCACTCGCTATTTTCCGTTCTCTTCAGTTAATGAATAGTTAATTTCGACTGAGAAAAAGTTGCCATGTCCCGTGACGGCGTTTTTTATAAAAGCGTGCCGGTCGCTGAAAGGTTAGTTCACCGACGCAAAAAAAATGAGTTCTTTTGTTATTGGTAAAAACTTTGTATTGATTTAAAGAGTACAATGTTCGAACCACTCACTTATGTCGCAGTCTCATATTTTTTGGGTCTTAGGCATTTTTTCATTTGTTTACGTTTCAAAAAAAAAAAAGAAAGAAACCGAGTAATTTTTTGGTAGATTATTTCTTAGGAACACTTCGTTTCGTCTGCCTTGCCGGAAAGGAACTAAACCATGTTCGAAGTTATTTTTACAGCTAGGTTTCTGAAGTCCCGCACTTCCTGCGGAAATGCAAGATACTGGCCCAAACGTCTGTCGCCATTCATATCGGCTCTGTTTAGATTTAGCGTTTCATAGTGCAGTTGGGATAGCTAAGTGCCTTTCCCATATAAACGAAGACTTATCTTCAGCATTTTTTTTTAAAAAAAATCTTTCAGCAAAATTAAAGGGGATTTGAACCTTTGTCACAATTTTGCCAAATCTAAAAAGGTTGACTTTTTTTCTGGTTAACACGGATTAACGCACTTAAGCGTTTTTGACGCGCGAGTTATAGTGTTTTGTCTAGTTTTTTACCTTTAAAATGTTGTTACTGGCCAGAAAACGATTTCAAATAGGAAAAAAAAGTCTTAGTTACTCTTCGGGAGTTTAAGAAAGTTTATTTATTTATTTGCTTATTTTGTGAAAAATAGGTGAGGTGTATTTTTATTTAAAACTTATTTATAGCTCAGCAGATAGGATGTCAAAGGATCATTTAGTTGTTTCGGTCCTGGCTTGTATACCTTAAAGGCCATGTTCACACTACACAGGATCGCTCTTGCGTCAGAAAAAACATACGGATAGTGCTTCTAACTGTTCACACATAACAGTGGTGATTTCGGTGCCACTAGCGGAGCGGAGCTGCGCCGCGTCGATCTTGAAACTGAATCGTCACAATATCGGATAGGTTTCTGTCACTCATTGTCACGGTGGACTGTAACGGAAGTAAACGAGTAGAATCAAGGGCTGGAACCCAGTAAGACGGAAATAAATATTCAGAATTCGAAGTGAGGATTGGGGTTTAGTGCGCCAAACCGGAGTTTTGTTGGCCAGCCGCTCGTGTACGATGATTGATGTGATGTTAAACGATTTGTTTCAGTTATCGGCCGTTGCCGTGCATACGTTACCGAAAAATTCTTGTGGGTACGAAATGCTATTCTGCGTAGTGTAGACATTGCGTTAATAACCGTTTGCCTAAATAAAGCACAGTGTGGTGTTAGTTGTTTTCGTTTTCTCAGACCTAAAAGACGGTGTCGGTTTTGAAGTTATCTAAGTCCATACTTTGTCCAAATGTTATTAGCAATAGTGTTATCTTTGGATTACCATTGTAACTCCTCTACATGAAAAAAAAAAACTTCCTTGTGGGTTTAAAATGGCCTCCAAAAAATTATGACTTGCAGTGTAAGGGGTAAATCAGTATTTCAACTTTAAGGCTATCATAAGCCCCCTGAATTGCTGGCCGGGACTTTCAAGTCTCGATTTCCGCTGTTCTCCCACGTCTCCCTTCGGGCGATGAGTGCAGGCTCATTTTTCCGAACAACGGTTGGTAATCAAAGCCTAGGGACTTCCTCAACCCTCATGATGAAGCTGAAAAGTCTCTTTTGTCGTGTGTTCCCGTGTCATTCTGCACCAAAGGAAAACCAATATGAAATAGCACATATAACTGTCGACCAGAAATTGCAAATTTCCTCAGTTTTGAAGACAAAATCAATGCTTACATATTGCTGGTTTTCAGTGTCACGCCATTAAAAATAGATCAAAATGGAAACCATTCGACAGATAAAGTCCAGAATCTGGGAAATGTAAGGAGGTAAATATACAAAGACCCTCGCCAAGATTTGGGTCGAAGGGATAATTCGTATACGAGATATCCGAGGAAACGTTTTACCCAAATTTATAGAGCTTTTTATGGAGACGCCATGCTGGAACTCATCCGGATGAGCTCCAACATGGCGGTCAGAAGCCAACAGAAAGATCTGTTACCGAGTTTTGCTACAAAAGCGTGAATTTACTCCTAGAGAAACTCGTAAACATTCAAGTAATACTTTTTCTAATACTTGAACTGTTTAGATAGCAAAATTCCTCGAAAAAAGTCACTTTTTTAACTTAAATGACAGCTCTCTCGCGGCCGTCATGTAAGTGCTGCGTCGCGCAAAAGCTTAGCAATTCAAGCGTACTCTATTACAAAACCAAGAACCTTTTTGAAGCGAAAATTTGTTTGAAAATTAGTTTTCAACTGCTCTAATACACCATGAAAGTAGCATCTCAGTAGGATCGATAGTTTTGCAGTTTGAATTTACCACGCAACACGTGGTCATCGAGGTTCCTGAGCTCGCGTCAGATTGCCCAGAACCAAAAACTTTACAAAAATTTTCCCACAAAAAAACACATCGCAATACCCATAACGAGGGGAAGAGATAAGAGACTGACCTGGCCTTAAGGATTGGGCGCTTTCATGGTGAATCGGTGCGCGGTTGTTTGATGCCGGAGAGATTTGTGAGTTGAGACTGTACACAGTCACCTGCCTTGCTTCGCTTTATGTAGGAAAACAACACCGAACAAACAACGAGCCGCAAAACTGTATAAAATGGCCGTGAATTGAGACCAGGTCACACAGAAAAAGCAACAACGGGCCCAAGTTTGTGTAAGTACAATTTATTTCTATATTTATGCGTATATTTCTACGGTTTAACAACTATATTGAATTTCTCACTCAAAGATTTTGAATCGTTCGTAATATGCAAAACAGTATCGAAACTCGCGGTAACTTATGCACCGAGCTTGGCCCGCCTGTGTTTAGAGTCAACCAAAACACGAAGATTTGCTGTCGTCATTTTATAAAAAAAAGCCCGAAGACTTGGTTAAAGCAGGAGCCGATCCGATGGGCTCCTGGTTAAAGCCATTGGAGGTCAGCGTGTTTATGTAAAGGCAGGGTAATTCCATCTCAATTTTTGTGATCCAAAAGTTCTCCGAAAAAGAGAGCACCTCCTAAATGTCGCAATCTTTCGTCTACAACAGAGTGTTCAAACAGGGAGATGCAACCATCTCAAAGTCAAACAACTGCAGATGTAGGTGAAGCAACTTCTGAAACCTTTACTTCATTAGCAGCTATTATTTATCATGATGTGGAAAACAGCTTCGTGTGAAGATCAAACAAGAGAGGCTAAAGAACTTGAAAGAATTCGAAGTTATGAACTTGAAAATGCGAAGTTATAGGCTGAAAAAGAGGTATTAAAACGCCAGAGGAGCCTTAAAGACTCGCGCCTTTTCAGTCACGCAATTTTAACTTAAATGTACCTGTAAACACTGATTTTAGACCAAACGATTCGGTTGCATGACCAATAAAAGACAATTTTGTGCTGCGAATCTAGCCAAAAGTGCAAATTATGCTAGCCGCGCTTTTAACGGCTTGGAAACTAAAATTTGATAGCATTTTGTTTTGAATAAGGGTATGAGCATGATTTTCATTTGAACATGCCTAGCGAGTGTAAAAATCGCATCCAGTCTGAGGATTAATGAGAGAGGGAAAATTCTATATATTTAGGCATGACAAAATTCAAGGGAACATTGGTAGTTAGAAATAACATCTCATAGGCATGGAAAAAATGGGTTCATGCCCTCGCAGCCCAAAATTGACCCAGCCAACTTTAGGTCCCAGATCTCTCGCCGGGTTGATAATTCATTCCCAGTTTTTGCTCCTCTGGTTTGGCATGCCGGGCATGCCGATGGTGAAGCCACTTGGTTTGGCATGCCCGGCATGACAGGCAAGAAATTGGCATGCCCAGCGAGACTGATTTTGATTTTCGCTTCAGCATCATATCTTGAGAATCACATATAGTCGCCAAATATATCTTAGGGAGCTTGAAGTTACAGCTTTCAAGCCTGGCAATAAATGCAGATTATAACAAAAAAGACATGTTTGTC